CCTCAGCCACAATCGCCGGATCCTCCGCCGGCGCTGGCGCGGCCGAAATCGCAGGAACAATTGGATCCTCCGCCGTCGTCGGCGCCGGCGCAATCGCCGGAACCGCCTGCCCCGTTCCCCCTTCCGACCTGGTCAGCCCCGCATCATAAATCGGCGTCAGGTCAGTCTTAAACAGTCCGAACGATCTCTCCGAGGTCGGGCCGGGCTTCAAGTCCTCGTCATAAAGCGCGAATATGTAAGTCTCGATTGGTTCCCCCATTCCCCTCAGATGAGCCACCAAATTCCCATTATACGCTTTCGCGTTCTCCAATGTCGCTCCGGCCTCTCCCGCATCGCCGTTGTACGGCCATCCTGTCTCCGCCACCACTACTTCAGCTCCGGCGAACCCCGCAGCCACCAGCGCGGCGCGAACCGCCGCCACCTGAGCGTCGAACATGTTGGTGTAGGTCACCCCCGAGCCCGGATCTGGCCGGCCCGAATTCGGCTGGAATAGACAGAAAGCTAGGGTTTCGGCCCGTTGATCGCTCTGGTAGGCGAAGTAGGGGTAAGGGTTCACCATGAAAGGGGATTCGTTGTCGTGGAGGAACTGGAGGATCGGTTTTAGCAAAGGGGCGAGATCGGGTTTGAACATACCGGAGGACGGCGGATCGGATTGGGACAGCACGGCCATAGAATGGACGGTGGAGATCTTGATTCCAGCGGGGATTGCGGCTTTGAGGTTCTGCATCGCGGGGAGGAGCTGGGAGGAGAGGGTGGGATCGCCGGCGGTGAGGATTTCGTTGCCGACAGAGATGGCGGAGATGGAGGTTGCTGGGAGGAAGGGGAGGACGTTCGACGAGACCCATGAAACCGCGGCGGAGGGATTGGCGGCGAGGGAGGCGATTTCGCCGTTGGTGGTGCCGATGATGAGAGAGATGTTGGTGCCGGCGAGGGCTCGGATGATGGCGGGATCGGCTCCGTAGAGACGGAGCTTGGAGATGGTGGTGGATTGCAGGAGGTGGGCGGTGGATTCCGGCGGCGGCAGGTTGTCGGCGATCTCTCCGTAGTTTACTCCGACGTACGGCTGGGAACCTGAGGGATTCAAGAAAACTTATCGATTATTTATTGATTGATCTTGGAAACCAGTGACAAAAGGGAAGAAGGAGATGAGGAAGGATTGATTACTTGCTGAGAAGAAGGTATTGATGAATGTGCCGAGCAGGAGAAGAAACTGAAGGAGTGTTTCCATGGCGGCTGTGAGACTCCTGCTAGACTGACCATACTCATTTTCGGTTTTATACATGTATAAAACTAGATTTACATGTAATATTAAAATGTTAAATATTATATATATGTATATATTAAGGTTTTTATATGACGTGGAGATCACGGTGGGGAGTTTGCGAAGGTTTTAATTTTTTAAGAAATTAAATAATATTTTAACTTAATACTTTTTTGAGGGAAAAATTAAGAGTAAATTGTCAAAATAATTATATGGGATCATATTAGTTTTTAAACTCTTGAAATTATTAGACCAAGTGTCTATTTGGGACAGCTGCAGCTTATCTGGTGACAGCTGCCCCAGAAAGTTGTTACGGATAAGTTGGCTGACTGTTTGTTTTTTGTAATATGAAAAAAATTGTGCGGTAGTTGTTTCTGGACAAATGATCATTATGTCCTCGTATAGTAATGTTGTTTGTAATATAACTGTCAGATTAATATATTCGGTACTTGAGGAAAAAAATTTCAATTCAAAATAGTACAAAAAATAATACACATACCTCACAGAATGCATGATCTCTTCTTAGAAACTCATCGCAGGAGATCTCTCTATTAGAAACTCATCAACAAATAGTGCACCAAGCGAATTAGCATGCTTAAAGAATAACTCACATGCTTATTCAAATAAGAGTAACTAAAACTTATTCATTCAAATGAATAAACAAATTTTTTTTTTTTTTTTACAGCAAAAACTATAAAGCCAATTCATCAAAGGATATCTATATTCATTCATTATGCATTAATAAACTTTTTGTTGGGCACACATAAGATAAGGAAAAATCATTTTAAATCGTTAGTTAGTACCCTTTATGAATGAAGCTTCTCCACTGCAAAAATTGAAGTCCTTTGAGGCTTTAGGAGAATAAGACATGCTCAAAAAACTATTTTTTGAACCTCCATCCTCAACTGTATTGCAGTCTGTTGCTTCAATTGATGCTTCTGAGGCTGGTAATATAGCAACTTCTACTGTAAAAGCTTTTGAGGTTTGGCCGCCATGATCCTTTGAATCATTGCGAGTCTGAAACGTGTTTATAATTCAGAGTTCAAGCTCTGAAATTAGTGTTTTGAAGACAATACATGAGTCTCACAGCTCTAGCGCAAAAATACAATTAATTTCAATTCTAATGCTCGTGCTGCTCTGCCATCACAAGCAGAGGCATTAAGCTTCACTTTTCAACTGATCTACTTGAAACAAATCAAATAGCCCCCTCAAAACTGATCCTCCACCAAAACAACGATGGAATTGGGAACTACTAGCACAAAAAACTAGACCAACAAATGATCTCTACAGCTTAAAACAGTGATGAAAAGAAGTAAAATTTATTACTTTTTATACAAGCTGCCAACAAGGAATAATCAATTCTTACCTTTCACTGTTCTAGTTCAAGATCAATTTTCTTCTATGCCTGTCCATGTTGTCTGCTTACCTCACCTCCAGCCGTGATCTCGACGACTTCAACGGATCTGAACATTCTTATTGCAACCGTGAAGAGAGGGAAGAGTCGCGAGAGAGAGTAGAGTAATAAAAAAAATGAGCGGAAATGCTGGCCGCATGGTTGAAACTGCGGTCTGCGCTCTGCGGAAATTTTTGCACACACCGTCAAAACGAGAGAATCAAACGCAAAAGAAAAAAAATAAATGTGCGGCTTGAGGCCGTGCCGCGCTAGAAACACGGCCCGAAACTAAGACTTAAGCTCAATTTTAAAATAATTGAGGGGGTATTTTCGCACTTTTATATATTTTAAGATTAAAATTATACCATATAAATAAATATTTATTAAAATAGTCTATATTTGTTTGTTTATATGGGATTGGGTGACTTTCCGAAAGTGAGAAGGACAGCGTGGAAAGAGGAGTTCTAAGTGATTTGAACGGAGAAATTTGCTTTAATTCGTTCGGAAAAGGCTTTTTTTTTTTTTTTCTTTTTCTTTTTTGTTGCATTTCCAACTTTTTTTTATTTTTATTATTATTAGCGCGCGTGCAAAATGCTTTTGATTTTTGTTATGGAGAAGTTGGTCGCATGGTATTATAGCAATTAAATTTAGTTTAATTTTTTATAATATAGAATTTAATTAACAAATTAAGTAACATAAAAATTTAAAAAAATAGTCATGAACTTTTCATACCGTTGGATTGTAATTTGTTCTTCATGAATCACGTCCTGAAAGTTAGAACCGAGTGAATGAGAGAAAGTAGAATAAGTCTACAATTTCTCTAGGGAAAATCGAAGAGATGTCCTCTTATTCGTGTTATAGAGATGTGATTTGTACGATTACTGAAATGAGGGAGCAATTATGAAATCGTTCTTAATATAATCAAGTTTCTAATTGATTGAATAAATTTTATGTCGTATTTGCATATAATTTGAATTTTAACATTGACAGTAGTTGGCTGGTTAGTTGGCTTGAAGCTAGCTGAGTGGTGTTTGTGCCTTTGAAGTACGCGTTAGTCGCTCGAGATGTTCGACCGCATGATGACTTGGCTCGGTGTCGTTTGACACGGTCGACTAGAGCAGTCAATTGTGAGGTGGTCATTCAGTCCGAACGCAGAGTTGGTCGGTCGAACGTGATCGATTGACTTTTTTCATTGAGTAAGCCGTGACTCACTTTCCATTCAACTTGAGTCTTACATGCATATATCAAGAAGACGATTGACGGATGAATATAACTGAATGAATGAAAGTTGGACGAAAGTAATTAGATGCATTGTGCAAAGAGAAGATTGATAACTGAGACATTTGGATGAATATAGCTGAATGAATAATAGTTGGACGAATGTTGTGAGATGAATGACGCTTAGACGAATGCAACTTCTTAGTTATGGGGATTTTGGTATTACATATTTAGTTCTCTATTCTCTATTTTTTTTTGAAAAGCTATTGCATTCAAAAAATGATAAACATGAAATTATGTATTGCTCGCCTCTATAAAATAAGTGTATGTTTCTCTATATTAAAGAATAAATTTATTTGATGTGTTCTTTTTTTGAATCAAAATTGCTTAAATGATGACGAGAGGTGAATTTCACTTGTGCTAACTATTTATCTGCTTTGAGGTTCTCAGCTTTACTTTAGGTAAGCGAATGAATGGACAAATGAACTAAGGTCGTACGTGTGACTTGCACTATATATTGTGACTATACGAAACCATACATGAATTCTTCTATAATTTATAGGAGGATCATATAATAAACTACAAATGTTATGTGATATGCCAACAATAAATTTTCATCATCCGACACGAAGCTCGAGGCATGACACGAATCTCAAGACAACTTTTTGAGCAATAAACATTCAAATTTCAATTAAAAGTCACCCAGCGCTTCGATTTCAGCAAACTTATAGTCAAATTGACCGACTCGATAAGACGGATTTAATGATATCAAAGTTATTCCAATCCGAGTCAAATCAAGCCTAGATCAAGTGACTAAAATCATTTTTAAAAGATTTCCGGACACATTTGAAAGATCAAATGAATGTCAAATTCAGCGAGTTCATACTCGAATCGAGCGTTTCGACAAGGCGAATTCACCGAGCCCAAGATTGTTCAATTTTGACATTGTTAAGAAACTCAAATGTCCATGTCCATCAAACGCCATTCAATCGAGAAAAACTCACTGGACCGTCCGATCAAAATGGTTTGTATTCCTGCATTAATTGCACTTAGAATACTATATATAGTGTCTCACCCCTCACATGAGGGGGAAACTTGAGAGAGAACTTGAAACTTTGAGAAGGAACTCAACTCCAATATCATCTCTGTCATCGTCTACCTCCGTCGACTAGCATCGATCGTCGGCGACCACCGTCGACCTCCGTCGGTCTACCACTGCCGACTGTCATTGACTGTCGTCGACCACCGCAGACCTCTGTCGACCACCGCAGACCGTCATTGATTGTCGTCGATCACCGCGGACCTCCGTCGACCACCATCGACCGTATCGATTGTCGTCGACTACCGTTGATCACCGTCTACCACCGCCGACTAAATGCTGTTAGTCGACGTTGTAATTTGGAAAGCTAGTAATCCTTTCTCATTTGTGGGACAATGGGTCTTTGTAATCATCAACCTATAGTGGATTTTTGCAACTAGGTCAGGTCCCGTGGTTTTTCCCTTTATGATTTTTTCACGTAAAAATTTGTGGTGTCATCACTGATTATTTTCCTTTTTATCTGAGTATACGTTGAATCCTCGTGCAACGCTAAGACAGTAATTTATTACTCTACCAAAGTGAATTTTCAAGCACGCATCAGTTAGGCGACGTCTGTCGGAACGTTTCAGACCCATAACTAAAGTACTTACACGGTTTCCTACATGACCACCAGACACAATGTTCGTGACAACGGAGCAACTCACTCCAACACCCATCGTTCCAGGGAGCAGTCATGAAGCCAAGGGCGGCATGTTTCTTCATCTTCCGACCCTAGAAGTCGTTATCCTACCAACGAAGGTGTTTTGGGTCCTTTAATAGAAGATCGAATGCATAGAATAAAGGAGTCTCAACTAAAGATCCTGCAGCTTGTACGTTCGGCTCAACAGCCGCTGCTTACACCAATGGATGAAATTATTTTACCATTAACTACGCGACGTACAAGAAACATACCTCTCGGAGGAACTCGTACCGGCCCGCCTCCTCAAGAAGGAACACATCCCCTGTCAGGTCGTGATGTTGAACTCCTAGATACCACAAGTTCCACTCATCCATCATGTGCAGCTCATTCGACATTGCCACATCTTCCTGCCATTTCAGATGATATCATTCGTAATGAACTACGACGCCTCATATGAGAAGTGTTTCCTCTAGAGAAAAAGGATCGTTTCTATGCTCACCGTAATATCCATGAATATTCTCCCTTAGCAGATGCAGTCTTCCAACACCCCATCCCAACAGGCTTCAAGCTTCTGAACATCGATACATATGAAGGGATAACCGACCCCTATGAGCATATTGATCATTATCGAACCATCATGCACATTCAGTGTGCCTTTGATGTTCTTATGTGTCAAGTGTTCCCGGTTACTCT